AAACAGTTTGACATACCTGTGATTAGTAAGAGTTTTCTGAAGCTGTGGTCTTCCCAAGAGTGACTGGGTTTTTGTTTTTCACATTATTGAAAATTGCTATAGTCATTCTCATGTCTGTTATATCACAAACTCTAAACAAAAAAGAAAACATTTTTATCCTTGTAAGTTGCCCAAGAGCTTTAGAACTTATGTTTTCATTGTAATAAATTATAAAAAGAATGTGCATATTTTTACTTGAAGTGTAAACAATGTTTATTTCATTTGATTAAAAATAGTCCCTCATTGAAAATGTCAATCTTATTTTGATGTCATATTTCTAAGAGCTTTCTGCCTATATACTACTCAGTGAGGATGTCTTTTCTTTTTTATCAAGCAAAAATGTATTTGCTTCCTATTAAAAAAGTGGTATTTTATGATATTTATAACCTTATAAACAAATAATTTTATTACATATGGCACAGTTCTTAATTCATTTAATAAATCATTGTATAGCTTTGTAAGTTTTTAAATATTTTAAGTAACTTACTATCAGCCTTTAATTTTTAGAGTATCAAAGTTTAGTTAAAGGAAGTTTTATAGGTTTTTAAGTCAGTATAATTTTATGAGGAGTTAAGAAGTAATAGAATTTTTTTTTTAATTATTAAGCAGTTGATGATATTTATATGATCTTTGACCAAGGAAGCATAGGTTTGCCACAGGCTATCTCTTCTTAAGACTTTATATAAGAAAAATATATGTACATAGAAAAAAAGAAAATGTAACCTTTTGGTCATTGTTGGAGATTTGGCCCCAGAGACATCATAGAACTTCAATGAGCTGGGCAGTTTCCTACAGAGAGTTTCATTATATAAACGATTTTCCTCTCCTTTATTTCCAACTTCCAAGTCAAAATCAAACTGGAGACTTTGGTTAAAGTGAAAAAGAGTAATAATCACTTACAAAAAAAGGCATGAGCAGAATTAGTCTAAACTACTCACCCTAAAACTTTTTTCTTTTCTTTTTTTTTTTTGTAGTATAACAACAACCTGCAAGCCTGTATGAGACAGACTAAAATGACAGATCCAGTTGTTTCTAAAAGACTTTGGTTTGGTCATATCAGGATAATGTGATATGCTTGTGTTTGAAAGACAGATTTTGATCTCAATCCATTGAATTCAGATATCCATGTGACTTTTCAAGACACTAAACTTAGACAGGAAACCATATATTAAAATCACTTAAGAACTTAGGAAGACAGATAAAATTGAAATAGTAATTGAGGAATAAAACATATCATACATCATGACTGAGCCCTAACGATTACCTCTGATGGTTTTAAAGCAGCAGTGAAGAAGCAAGGTTGTGGAAATAAAAGTGTTTGAAGCATTTTAGTGGAAAAACACAAAAGGCTGAGTCTACATTTGGAGGGTGTTGGCCTTTAATACATTCCCATGAAGAACAATTACCTGCAATATTGAATTTTAATACTGTTTTTTTCAGCAATATTAAAAGTATTTCATGATTACTGGAGCTTGCTTTATTAACTATGCCATTCAGACTGAGTGGCTACATACTTGTTCACTCTAGTGGAGGAGAGATAGCTAGTCTATGTACACTTTTGTGGGAAGTTCAGAGTCTGTATTTTCACAAACAATTTGATTCAAATCCTATAATACAGAAAAATATTGATTTAGATGTTTTCACAAACTGAAGGTAATTCAAGAATTGGCATGTACACGTAAGAAAAAAAAGAACTACAAATATCATAATGCTTGCTTCACTCCATTCTTGTCACAGCTCCCCCAACGGAAGCAACACACTCAGCACTAACTCCCACTAACAGAGTAGATTTGTTTTTGTTTCTTTTTATGGTGGAATAATTTTATAACTGAATCAAAATTTCATAATTTTAATCAGAATGTTAAGCGTTTTATGTATCCTTTCCTACTCCTCCTTCTCTTCTTTCTCCTTCTCCTCTGCTTCCTCTTCCCCCTTCTCCTCTTCTTGTTCTTCTTCTGAAATTTTATCAACAGGAAGTTGAGGTTCCATATTAAAGTTCTTTCCTATTATAAAACATCTCAACAAGAATAAACAATCTTTGTACAAGGAAATTTTGAAGACTATTATCAACATTTTATTTCAAACTAAATGTAGAAGAAATGAAAATAAGGAAATAAAGGGATATGAATAAGCATTTAGTAACTAGGTGTATCTGCCTGTTTTTCAGAGCCAGCTTTCTATGAAGTTAAGCATGTAGCTTGAGAATTGCTTTGGAAAATAAGAATTGCTTTGAGAGAATGCTTTGAAAAATTACATCCTTTGTATATTGAAAGTTTCAATGTGCAAGAGTTTAGCAAGGGCATGGTATCCACGAAGAGGACAAGCAGAAATTTCAATTACACAGTAGCATTATTTCTTACTTTGAAGGGTCACTGACAATATGCACATACTACAGTTCAGAATGTTTTCAGTGTTTGCTTTCAGTGTACATTCTGCTGTGTATTTCAGTGTATTTCTCTCACTGGGTATGAAAACTCTTCTATAGATCAATTTACCTTCTTTCTAATAGCCTCTCAAACTGATGTTCCATTAATATAAGACATTTTTTTCATTGCAACTTCTGTTATGGAATAGATTTTGGCATAGTAAGTTTATTTAATATGTATTGTCAATTGAGAAGATAAAAACTAAAATTATTCTTTTAAAAAATTGGTATTAACTTTTTCCATATCAACATAAGCAAGAGTTTTTTCCCTCTAAACTATTTTAAATAACAACATTGAGCATGACATTTTCATGCAAGGATTTTTTAAAGTCTCTTTCAATGTTTTGACCTCCAAAGTAACTAAGCAATGTGGTTTTTGTATGTCTGCATTTTTGGCTCATTTTACTTTGATCCTATTTCTGAAAATGGGATTCATGCCCAGAATTTCTACAAACAAAACCTGGCTTTTAAATAAAAATTTCAACTTGTAACCAAAGCCTGTATAGAAAGAATTAAGGTTATTGATGAGATTAAATGATTTTTAAAACACCATCTTGTCTCCCTTGCCGTTTTTTTATACTCCTCATGTCATTCACTACTGATTGCAGTGGAAAAGCGTAAGTTAGATTTTTGAGAACATTAAATCAATAACATAGAAGAAAAGATGGGATAAGAGTTTTGATGTATGAACATACTAAAAAGAAAAGTGTAAGAGTATTAATTTGTTTTAAGTTCTACATCTTCACTCTTACTGGATAGAAGTATTTATGTTAATGCTATTTTGTAAACTAATTCATCCATTGATCTTACTTTTAGATATTCATTTGCATTCTCACAATTTGAGAAACTTGGAAAATTTAGCTGTATAGCTTCATACACATCAGGTCTAAATCTTGGCTCAAGATCTGTCTGCCTCTTGCATGTTGTGTGACATTGACCACAAAACTCATCCTTCTTGATTTCCACCAGTATAAAAGTCTATGTTTTCACATCTACAGAGGCAAAATGGAACAAGGATTAATGCTGCAGGTTGTGGAGACAGATTACTAATTACCAATTTGAAACATTTCAAATAGGACAAAACAGAAGAAGCATCCAAAAATTTTAGAAATTACTGCAACAAATTAATGCTAGGATAGTAATGGACAGAGCTTCGTATGTCATTTTTAACAACATGAGGAAAATAAGAATTAGATTATTCTAAAGGATGTAATTGAGTTTTATTTGATTTTTCATTGAATTACTTTGTTTTCATCATGAAAATAATATTTTTCCTGGCTTCACAGATGGTAGTAAAATTTAATGACATGATCTGACTCTACAAGCCTCTTTCTTTATTATACAATTATGACTTTTTTTTCCTTATCACCACCTATAAATTGCATATTTGTGTGGGGAAGGAGACAGTATAAAATTTGTGACATTATAGAGTATTGTTAGTATATCCTGGGCATGACATAATAGTAGTGGAATAATTTAGATGAGAGAGAGAAAGAGAGAGAGAGAGAGAGGGATCAATTGAGGGACACTGTAATGACTTGTATGTTTGAACAGCTCAGTACCCACAAGATCATTAAAAGTTGTTGAGTTGTAGCCCTGTAGAGATCAATCAATTTCACTTAGTGAAAAGATGATGTTTTCTACTCATACATATATTCCTTTTCCTGTCAGCTGTCTCCAGAGACCTGACATATGTCACAGAGAGAACTTCTAGAAGAACATCCTTGACTTAGCACAAAAAATAACAACTGCCAGTGCAGAGATCTTCTCTGTACTGATGATCTCAATAATATACAGGTCACAGGTACAGAAAGATGCAGACTTCCAGAGAAGGTCACATACTGTTCAGTGTCATTCACTTTAGTGCAGAGCAGAGCTCAAAAATATTTTGTGACAAGGACCACTTTGATAGTTAAAATGTGTAAAAAAAAAAGAGATAATATTATAAAACTAATATAACAAAACAGAGATATAAAGTATTAAATATTATATAAGTTGATTTTTCTGTGTTATACAACCTATCACATGATAAGCCCTGACACCTAATACTATTACTTGAAGGTTAGGATTTCAATATATGAATTTTGGGCATACACAAACATTGAGAGTGTAACAGATAAATTATTAGTAAGCAATGAGAAGAAATTCAAAATTCAAGAAGTGTATATGGGTTATAAGTCTTTTTTTCTTCTCTTTTATTTAAATATTTTAACAGCAATACAATTGCCTTTACTTCTTAGATTTCTGTCCAATTATGTTTAAATACAATTATCTCTTCTCTGTATATACTGATAATTGCAATAATTCACTGCAGTGATTTAAAAAAATATTTTCTGGATTTGAAGATAGCAAAGCAAGAAATTAAGCCTCTCTAGATTTCCATGTCATCATTTATGTTTTCTAACAGTTCTTTAAAGCATTTCTTCTTTCTGTAATGATACTAGTTTAAAAGAGTCCATACATTCAGCATTAAAAGTTTCACCCCAAAAGGATATCATAACACAATTTTTAAACTATTTTTATTTTCCATTTTTAGGCTGAACAGGACAATGGCCACCCTCTTCCTGCCTTTGCCAGTCTACACATTGAAATACTGGATGAAAACAATCAGAGCCCCTATTTCACAATGTCCAGTTATCAAGGTTATATCCTGGAATCTGCCCCAGTTGGAGCAACCATTTCTGATAGTCTAAATTTAACCACTCCTCTAAGAATTATAGCTCTAGACAAAGACGTAGAAGATGTAAGTTAAATATATACTTTGTTTTTATTTTGTTAATATAGCTCTTATATATGTGTTAATAGTAAATAGTATAACATATTGCTGAAGGAACTATGAACAGAAAATAAAATCATACTAAAAAAATTGGGTTTCTAATTTAATTCTATATTAATATATTTTAGAGTATATTTGAATTCAGTGAGTGTTCTTTTTCATTTTAAAACTGTTCAGTATATGGAGAAAATTAATGTTTCACTTAGGGTTTTCTAAATTACTAGGGAAATCTTTTGTATTAAAATATATTTTGAAAATGATTTTATATAATCACTGGCAGGGAAAAAAGTAATGCCATAACAAAATAACATAACAATCATGAAAGCAACCTAAAGTGTGATCTTGGGAATTTTTGCCAAATTTGATGGTACATTGTTAAAAAAAACCAAAAACAAGCATGTTCTGTCAGTGGCTATTGATGCTTCTGCTATTCCACTCCGCACATGGTTGTTCTTTGGTATTGTGGTACTGATCCTATCTTTATGATGGAAATTAATCCATGCTGGGCTATTCAGAATAATTTATCTCCTTGGGGAGAGTGATTTTATATTAATACAGGGCAGAAAATCAATACCAAGAATTCCAGAGTACCACAGGAATTTATGGGAGTATGTAGGAACTGAAAGGCTTTGGCATCATGTATTAAGATGGAAATGAATCTGACATCTTTGTAGTTGAATGGGTTTGCTGACATCATGTATAAAGGACATTATCAGTGGGAGAGAATGAAGCCTAGGAGAAACATACAAAAAGTCCTATTGATTTATGAGGTCCCAAAGATTTCCCTTCCATTCTGTGAAATACCACATTTCCCATCTGTATAGCTAAGTTATATGTTTATATATGCATACAATACAGTTTTTGCTATGCTACTTATAACTGAAAAAATCCTGACAGTGATTTCTCCCCCGTCAGCCTCACTGAAAGACCTCCTGGGATGAAGCAAATGTTCAGCAGCTATGCTGACCAATATGGTAGCCACTGGCCATTTGTGACTTTTGAGTATTTTACATCTAACTAGATGGAAGTGATAACTCTTAAATTTTGTTTAATTTTAATGAATGAATGTAAATTACCCCATTCAACTAACTTGACAGCAGAATTTTGGAATATCCCTGTAAATCTTATCATCATGTCAGTATATTAAGAAGACATTTTCAGATTTGTTTATTTATTTATTTGTGTGTATGTGAACCCCAGCAGAGATGACTATGGTAGGCACTTTTTCCTTGCTAAATGTTTTATTTTATTCTTTATATCTCTTTATCATTCTTTTCTTCTTCCATCCTTTTCTTGGCCTTTTTATTCTCTCCCACGTTCTAATCTCTTCTGGAATCATAAGTTTTTAACAAGAATTTATTGAGTTCTTAGTATGTGACAAACAGTATAGTAAATATTTCATTTTTCATTAATATCTTTAAATATCACAGCAAATATTATAAGTGCAATTTCTTATATTACAAAAGAGGATTCCAAAGTAATTTAAAATACCTCAGTATGGTTGCAGAATTATTAGGTGGACATGGACCAATGTCTATGGAAAATAAAGTCCTTGATGTTGAGCATAAATCTATATAATCTCTATCCATTCTGTATATGTTGGCTATAGTCTGATTACAATGCTACCTTGTTAGTGGTTTAGGCTTTCTTCCTACAAAAAGTACATATACATATAATAATTTTGTGCGCTAATTTCAGAGTATTTGGGGCCCCTGAATGTTTAATGGGTTTCATGAATCCTGAGGGAAAAAGTCTTCAGTTATTCAATCATCATTTGAAAACTCTCAAAGAAAGACGAAGTGTGGTTCAAGTGGTAGCGTGCTTGTCTAGCAAAGCACAAAGTTTTGAGCTCAAACCTGGGTACCAGAAAAAGAAAGGAAGGAAGGAAGGAAGGAGAAAGGTAATTGAAAGGAAAGAAGGAAGGAAATAAAAAAGAGAAGGGAAGGGAAGGAAGGGAAAAAGGAAAGGAAAAAGAAAAGGAAAAAGGAAAGGAAAGAACACCAAAAGTATCCTAATAAGTTTTATTCAGATTGAGAAAAGTTTATACTAATTTAGGTCATGCATTTATGGAAATGAAGGTTAAAAAAAACTATCCTAAAACCATGCAGTTTTAATTATTATACAAACAACAATATTTGTGTATTTATATTTGCTCAATATATTATTTAATGATTACACAACTATGGTTGCTTGTATGTATACCTACCTGACTATATTTTCTCTTCACTTAAAAATTATGAGTATGAAAATGTGTTCCAAGGAATTTTGTGAAAAAAATGCATAGATCTAACAAAATATTATTGAAACAATGATGAGAGCTCCTGGGTGTAAAACCTTTGGAAACAGTACTAGAATTTAGTTCTTCTAGATTTACAATGCAGTTAGTCTATTATGTTCTCTAAGATGTTTCCAAGGTGTGAGTCCTTAGTAGTGTTACCCTTTAGATTAGCTCTGGGTCTGGAACTTAGTTCTATCATATAATAGCTGTGCAACATAAGGAGCTTTATGGTTAACAGGTACCCCTCTTGTCCAATCACCTGTATGGTAGTGATCATTGCTGTCTTGGCCTGCTCCTCAGTTGTGGCTGATGGGAACGGGCTTGAGAGAAAATTTTCCTTAAAAGTATCTTTGGGACTGTCATATTCACTATGTTTTGCAAAAGATCAAATAATTAAGTAATATATGTCTGATAATTTGTTTATTATTTGGGCTCTCTCATTCTAATATGGTGATTATTATTAGGTGTCCAGAAAGTGAACACATCTGCCTAATTCATGAGTGATTAAATTTCCTAAAACAGCAGATATAGTTTTTATATATAAATCATTCACATAAGTGGATAGAATATGAGAAACTGTTCAATTTCCTATACCTTTTGAACTAATTTCCTCAATCCCATGCCCAGGAAATTAGCATAACACTTCACCACTTAAGCTAGAAACCAAGGAATCTTTCTTAATTTTTATGTTTCCTTTACTCACCACAGCTCAAAAATCTTCATGATCTTCCTATTTTGTTTCCAAAATATTTTTTGACCCTCTTTTCTCTTCTCATTTCTTACAACCACAACCACATTACTCTTCTGTTAGAATTGCCTCCAGGGAAACTGATCTCGTTATTCTATTTATTTCTTACTCAAATCCATCTTTCATTTAGTCATGAGTTGCTCAGTCAAAAACTCAAATCTGTGATAAAGTGCCTGCCTAGCAAGTGTGTAGGCCAGAAGTTCAAACCCCAGTTCCAGAAAAAAACAAAGAACAAAACAAAAACTCAAATCTGCCTACATTATACTTCTTGTAGGTTTTTGTAACATCTATTTCTCTATAGAAATAAAATGTACTCATTCTGTGTTTTCTACCTGAAAATTCTACCTGAATAGTTCTTCACCCTCAATATCTGAAGCTTCCTGCTTCAGCTATTACACTTAGCAATTACTTAGTTTCTTACATTTGCAAAGCTAAGTCTTGTCTAAATCTGCCACATTTTCCGTGTTCTGAAATCTTTCATTTTTATACAGACCTGCTGGATAGCTTATATTCAGTGTTTAATGTTTCTAATTCAGCTTGAGTATTTTCTCATTCAAAAATCTTTTATCAGTATGTTTATTGTCCAATCTGAGTTCTCTGTCCCTCTCAGGGGCATTTCTCTAAAGCTATGCTTCCAACTTTGTAACATGTGTCTTTCTACTTCACTTAGCTTAATTCTCTTGAAGATAGATCCTATATCTTAATAATTTATGTATTCTGAATATGTACCACAGTTTCCAGCACTTGGTAGGTTTTAATATTATTTCAGTGTGCTAAGAAACTCAGACATGATTGAAGGAATGAGCATATTTGACATATGTTTCAAAGTTCTAATGATATTGAATTAGTTAATCAATAATTCACAGTATGTCCTATTTCATGGTTGGAGAACTCTAACATATATACAACTTTTGATCATATTGAGATGAAACCAGCCTATTTGAACTCATTAATTATTCTTTAAATTTTCTATTCATAAGAGCACAGAATAAATCCGTTTGAGGGTGTATTTATGTCCCCCTGAATCACCTCTTTTTTCCGACCAACAACTATTTATTTATTTTTATGTATTTATGTGTTTGTTTTATTATATTATTGACTGCAATACATTGTGACACTTACAACAGTGCTTACAATATATCATAGTTAAATTCACCCCCCCATCATTCTCCTTTACCCTCCCTTCCTCCCATTCTTCAAAAAGTTTCAACAGGTCTCATTTCTCCATTTTCATACATGAGTACATAGTATTTCCACCATATTCACCCTCTTACTCTTTCTTTATACCCTTCCCACACACACACTGGTATCAATCCCTAGACATGACCCGTTTTACCTTCCTATTCTTCATTTTTGAAAAAGAGACATTTTTGTTTGTTTAAGAGGGTTTCATTTTGACATTTTCTGTATTATAAAAAAATTGGTTCATCACCTCTATTTTTCTCCTTTCTACCTTAGTCCTCTTCTTATGGTGATTTCAACAGGATTAACATTTTTTTGTTGTTGTTGTTGTTGTCCTTAATATACCTTTATTTATTTTTATTATTGTTGTACTGGGGTACATTGTGACATTTACCAAAGTTCTTACCATATGTCATAGTTGTATTTTATTTTATTTATTTTTTTTTTTAGGTTTAGAAGTTCAAGGGTTTTTGTTTCTTGTTTTTTTTTTTTTTCATTTTTCTTTTATTATTCATATGTGCATGGCTTTTTTATTTCTCCCCCTGCCCCCTGCCCCACCCTCCTTACCACCCGCACTCCACCCCTCCCCTCCCTCCCTCCCAATACCCAGCAGAAACTATTTTGCCCTTATCTCTAATTTTGTTGTAGAGAGAGTATAAGCAATAATAGGAAGGAACAAGGGGTTTTGCTGGTTGAGATAAGGATAGCTATACAGGGCATTGACTCACATTGATTTCCTGTGCGTGGGTGTTACCAGGA